CATAACTATATTTGGTATGTACTTGACCCGATTGTTGCATGGTCCTTTTGGGTTTCCTTCACCAAAGCAAATTGACTGGAAGAATAATGGTGAAAGAGGATAAAAGTGATTTATTAATATATTATATGAATAATATATTAAAAGGGAAATCATATTATTTAATTAACATTGGTCAACAATTAATTTAGAATTAATTTTGTGGTCAAAAGAGGTTAATTGAGTTAAGGGGACTGATATTGTAATTATATGATAATTGCAATATGGGCTGAGGAACCCTAAGGATAGGGGTGGACGAAATCCTTATGGATGCCCAATAGATTTCGTCCATGGTAGGGATTCTGGAAGATTCTTGTGGTCTTCTTAAGGCTTATGCAACCTGATTATGTATTCGACTAAAACCCTAATTCTTCAGCTATATAAGGACACCCCGAGCATCCCAAAATCGGCTACAAGAAACCCTAGAAGGATCCTAGAGCCGAATTTTGAGCCTCCTCCTCCTCTCTCTCTAACATTCTCCAATTGCTTGTGGTCTTTGTGATCGATTAGAGATATTACATTTGTGATACTAAGCTCTCAAAGGCAATGATTTTCAAGCTAAAAGAGAAAGGTAGCATTCTTACTTGTTTATTTATGTTGATTTCGATTTTTGTATGCTAGAGTATTAGGGTTTATAAGCTTTGGATGATTATTGCGTGTACAACTAGAAAAACCTAGATCCAAAGCTTTAGGGTTTGGATGTACACCATAGTATTAATGTTTTGCTCATAACCCAACACTAACTACCACACGAATAAAATTACATATCACTAGTACTAGATAATTCTTCGAATGAAAGGTCTCACACTACAACAGTTGGACTCAAACAAGAGTTGCGCCATAGATTTAAACCTAACCTCCTAAAATATCTAATCTCAACAATATGTAACCAAGCACATTCGTCTACTAGCCAGTTGATACTAATGGGAATTCCTAAAAGCACAAAGCATGCAATATTCGAGCATAAAGCAAATCGAGTCAGAACATAACCTAAACAGGCCAGCCTATTAGGTAACTGATCTATACTAGCATGCAGATCCATAAGCTCATACAATAGGCACATAGAGGCATCTCCCCTAACATTCTATCATGAAATCTTGAGCAGATCCTTATGCCTACACTAGCATGCGATTCTCATATCATAGCGTGAAACATATAACATGTATGTGTATTTTGGGAAGACTTACTTGAGGTCAGCTGATTGCATGCATCATACCCCTTTCTTTTATTAAAAATCCCTTAATAAAATGCTTCTTTTTATGAAAAATCTACCAAATCCTTGGTTTGAGTTCATGCACACACGAGAGCATGCCTGAATCCCTCAAACCAAGACTCTGATACCAACTTGTAACATCCCAAAGTTTTCAGACAAAAAATTAATTTTTAATTCATATCAAAGCATCCGGTAATCATATCAAAACAACCAAAAGTGTATCATAGTGAAATAATATCATAGTACAAATCCCAAAATCACATAATGTGGAAAACATGGGCGGATGCGGTACGATCAAGTATGGCCCTTCCTTTTTGAGCTGGAAGTACCTCAAACATAAACTTGAAACCGTAAGCACAAAGCTAAGTGAGCTCCCCCAAAATACCTCATACCATACACACATACAGTCAAAGCATATTTGGGTCTATTTCACCCCCTTCTGTCTCTTTCAACAGGTACCGGGCATATTTCAACCCCTTCGCTCTCTTTCAACCGGTACTGGATATATTTCAACCCCTTCAGTCTCTTTCAACTGGTAATGAGTATATTTCAACCCCTTAGCTCTCTTTCAACCGGTATCAAGTCTATTTCACCCCTATAGCTGGCATATAATCGTAACAGTAAGAGTCATAGAGACAACAACATATACAAGCAATATAGTGAAATTAGGTTATAAACCATAATCCAGTGGGTCGGCATTAGTGCCTTCGACCCATGTGTATAGTGAAGGAAACTCACCTCAGACTGAATATATCAAATCACACTCTAGTTGTTGAATCATGAAAGCCTCTAACTAAATCACAAATAACAAAACCGCAATTAGAAATTAGCTTATAAACCATAATCGGGGTCCCAACTTATCATCCTCAACCTCTAGGGAAAAAGACTATTTTACCTTTTTCCCTACTGGGCCTAACTAGCTTAGCCTAGTAACTCTATAGTGGCCCAAGGCCCAAAAATGGCCCAGCCTATAAACCTAAGGTCCAACTATGGCCCAACAGATACAAAACCCAAAAGGAGGCCTAAAACAATAGAAGCCCACTTCGCAGTGTAAGCTCTACGTACTCCTCGTACGCGTAGCGTACGAGCGTTGACTTGAAAAGCGGGTGCTTGACCTAGTACGCCCAGCGTACTCGACAGAGGGCAAATCCTCAACTTTTGACTTAACCACTTAAGTTCTTAATGTCCATACTTCTGATCTACATCATTTTATGGTCTTAACATGTAAAGTTGGCAACTTCGTAGTTTTGCATGTCTTAATGGGAACCAATACTCGTTTTTTACCATTAAGACCCATAATAAGAGTCCTAAATCATGCATGGTCCAATATAACACATCAAGATATCATTTTTATGCATAAGGAACATCGGAGAGGCTAACATTCTTAGCTTCTGGAGTAGCTCATACTCCCAAGCATGACTTAAAGGACCGTAATATGCACAAAATCAAGCCCTAAACTAGATCTATCATAACGAACCATCAAGTTAAGAGCTTTATACCTCCAAAAGCTTTCCAAGTTGGTGATGGTTCTACATCTACAAGCTTTATCTACACCAATGCAACTTCCAAGAGCTCTTCTTCCTTCAAGATCACCAAAAACACCCTCAAAGGTCACTTCCAAGCTCAAAACACTCAAATGGTAATTAATGTTTCTTTCTCAGGGTTTGGAGAGGTGGAGGCTGATCATAAGAAGGTCCAATAGCAACTTAAGGTGTTTACATAGGGATGAAACCCTAAAAATTAGGGTTTTTCCCAGATTGTCGTACGCACCACGTAATCTGCGTATGCCCAGTGTACGTGGATGCCTCTGCGACCAACCTTTCGACCCAGTACGCCCAGCGTACTCCTAGTGTATGCCCAACGTACTTTCCAGGGACCCAAATGCAATAGATTTTATGTTTGAGGGAAAAAAAATAGAAGTACCTGAAATGCGAATGTTATAAAACTCATCTGCTTCATGATTATTACCACGAACAACTTAGAAGTGAATGTCAATAAAATCATCAACCTTTTTTGACTTCCCGACTTTCAAACCAACAATATTTTTTATGTTCTAAGATTCATATTGTGGTTTTGAATGCTTCACATAAAAGTTGAACAATTTTATGTTTATCGTTGTGTTTCTCATGGGTACCTTCTGAATACTTTCAAAGCAACTAAATCGGAAGGCTTTTGCAGTAATGGGCAAGTATAAATTAACATTAAACATCATTTTCAAAATAGAATGAGGTTTAAGGATCTAACCAGTAAAGTATTGGTTTGTTGAGAGCTTCATCTTTAATTCTTTCAATTGACAAAGGAGGAAATAAAGCTTTCTTATTCACCAGAATTGCTTCATCATTCTTCTTTTCAGTTTCCTCGACATTAATCTTTATATTTAATGCATTAAGATCATCTAGAAATGCATCACGTTTCACTTATTCATCTTGTTTTTCCTTAGTCAGTTGTGGATTTAACTCATCTACTTTTTTAGACACAATCTTCACATTTCCTTTTCCCAAACCAAAAGCTTCATTACCCTTTTGGCAAGTTTTCTTTTCTCTTAAATTCTTCAGTTTTTCTTCCAAAGACCTCTTCTCCAAATGGATTTTCACCTTGTTCTTTTCGATTGGACCAGTTTGGTAAGGATTGTTGATGTTGACTTCCGGAAACACCCCTTCTTCTCCCCCTTGTTGCGAAGTAGCCTTGCTACTCCTAATATTTGAAATATCATTCAACTGTGTGATAATAGCTTAGATTTTCATCCATGAGTTGTCAAATATAATCTGCATAAGTTGCATATTTTGTCTCAGCAATATTAACCAACCGCTGATTGATTTGAAATTTTTTCCCTTTCACCAACAAGAGCTCTTCATTTGCTTTGCCAAGATCAAAAGCAGCAGACTTTAATTGTTCCCTAAGAACTTTGATCTTCGTGGTTGAGTCAGCCAGAGTATCCATTATTTTGTTTTCATGAGCCTGACTTTTCTGTATAGTAAGAATGGAGTTGGCAATAGATGTGTGATGACCATCATTATATTTTTGTAACCCAAATCGAAGTTCAGACAAGGCAACTTTTTCATTCTGCAACGAGGTACAAAAACTAAGAATCACCTTGTTCATATCAGAAACATTTTTATCAAAAGATGTTTGAAATGAATTCATGAAAGCCACTTGCTTTGTTGCAATAGTATTGACTTTTGTGAGAATCGTGGAGACTTGCAAACTAGATTCCTTGATTAGTTTTGAAAAATCATCAACAAGCTTCTTGTATTGTGAAAGATTATCAACATTAGCCTGAACCAGCTTCTAAATTGCTTCATCGTGAGAAGAAATCAGCTACTCATACTTCGTATTCGTGAAAGTAGAAGACAGAGAAAGAATTTCATCTAACTTCTTGTTGAGCTTGCGAAAATCACCTTTAGTCATTGCAGCATGATCATCATTATCACTTTCCACTTGAAACGAAAAATCAGTTGTGACAAACTCATCATTGGAATTAGAATCATCTTTCATGAGAATTCCTTCTTCAAAGTCATCAGTGACAGGTGGACTAGAGGTGAATTATGGTGTAGACACATGTGATTGAGACAAATTCACACCAATTCACACCAATATTGACATTTGGCCCACATTAGATGTCTTACCATGGATGCATGAGGTTCTATTCTCCTCCCTATAGAATTCAAAAGTAGAAGCCTCTAGTGGAGGATATGTATAAGTTGTATTTTGAGATACAGAAGTAACAGTTTCCTCAGTAAAAACAGGAATCTCAAATGGTTTTGTTGAAAACTGAGAAAACGAGAGCAAAAAATATACTTGTTGGAATTGGTGTGGATTCAGAAGTAGCAGAAAAAATTGGTGGAGTAGGAGGTGTTTGAGAAAGATTGAGAAAAGGATCATCAACAACTTGTTTATAAATTTCTGCTTCAGATTCCATATGTGAAGAGACAAGAGGAGTTTGATTTAGCTCTAAAGCAAATGTTGATTTCATTCCAATATTCGCAAAATCTTCTTCATTATTGAGAACAGACTCCTTTTCTTTACGAGCAAGACTTTCAATATGCTCACTTGATTCTTCTTGAAGAACAACTTGAGTAAGATTATGCCTCTTTTTCTTTTTAGATTTCTTAGAAACAATCGATTTCCCTTTTCGCTTAGAACTTTTTTCTTTCTTCTTTGGAATTTATGCTTCGTGAATTGAATCAGATCCAACATCTCCAGTAGAAACTGTGGTCTTCAAATATTCAACAATGATTGGATGATCAGTAGGAACCCTAGATAACATGGCTTGAGAAATTGAACCCACAATCAAGAAATTCTTTGGATTAGAAGTAACAAACATTACGGTTTGCATCTTGGGAATATCAACAATAACAACATCTCGCATCTCTGGAATATGATAATGAAGCATAAAATTTCTCACTACAATAGACAAAAAATGAGAACGTAAAATTTCGGTGTCCTTTGTTTTTGAAGCAAGACTTGGAACAAATTGATCCTATAACATAGCTCCAAAATCAATGTTTCTCTAGAATAGATTCCACATAACAAAGTATGAAATAATCGACTTGGATTATCAGACCCAATTGATCTCTTAGAAAAGCACTTAAACGTTATCGTAAACAATGTATTCCAAATGGGAGGAAGTTCATACTTCTTAAAGCGAGAAAGAACAGATAAATCAAAGATCTACCCCATTTGTTGATAGACTTGAATATTGGTCGATGTAGAAATTTGGTCTAGATAAATCAAATCTTCAGCAGTTGAAAGCCCTAACAACTTGCATAAATTCAATTCCAAAATAGACGTCTTCACCCCTTGAATTTCAAAGTTCATAACCTTCATTGGCTTATTGTAACTAGCAGTAGAATATGACAATGATAACTGAGAAATCAGAACATCCTCAACCATAACCAGAGCTTTCTTCAGTATATAATGATCCAAGCAAACGATCAGTGGTTGAACCGGTTGAGAATACTTTGATGGATCGAGAACAACCACCATACTCTGATTTAACTTGATATTCAACACTACAGATGAAGAAGATTAGTCCATGAAAGTGATTCGATCAGAGGAATCCATGTGATTTGAGCAAGAAATCGTCTGTGAAAGGTTGCAATTTAGGGTTTTTGAGCGTAGAAAGGAAGATGATGAACAATTAGGATTTTTAAATGGTGAGAGAGATGTGGGATTTGAATTTGAACCGTTTATAGAATTGAAGAGATAAAACCCGGCCACCGCGCATTAAATGTTTTACGTCTTTGATGTTAGAAAATGGAGTCAGGCCAATCATTCCGAACATAGTGAACCAATTAAACATTGCCACCTCATCAAAATTCTGTAACAAACTTCAACTGCTGTCTATTGAACGACATGATGTCAGACCCTTTTAATACATGCCATGAATTGTAAAAATTTAAAAGAAACATGTGTTTTCGGTTTGCAACAGTTTTTGCAATCACTGATCCACCCTTCAATTTTTGAAAATTAAAATAGTATCCATTGGAATTACGACCAGGATTGTCTTGCACAAGCGTAATGAGATTTTCACCACAAAATAGAACCGATAGTTTTGAGAAATCAAAGAGTCCAGTGCAAATGTGTGCGAAAAGAAAAGATAGAAGCAAATTTCTTTTAAAAAAATTGGATAAGTAGTGATATCAAAGAATCTTTGATATAAAAGCAGTTAGATCCTGGGCACAAATTCTCTTCCTTCAATAGTCAAGAGAGACTAAGAAGTGCTTGTGTGGTTTCCCCTTGAATTACGATTGTCAACTTTTTAAGAAGTTACACAAGGTATATTTTCGTAGGTTATATGGGTAGGCTCATTTCTGATGATAGAAGCAACTTAACATAAGTGCTAAGATACGAAAGGAAAAACTTGATTGACCAATGTAGCCAAGATCAAGTTCGGCAAACATGCTATATGATTGGAAAGTAACATCGAGATAAGAAAAATGTTCGGACGGAAATCTCATAATTTGAAAACAAAAAGTTGGATCTTATTAGGAATAAATTAATCTGGAATAAATTAATCTCATGAAGATCTCACAAACGAAAATTAAGAGATTTTGAACATTAAAAGATATGACATTGCAAAATATAAGAATTTCAACCGTCAATTCCTTTGTTTCATGATAGAATAAAAATGTTCACCATAAATACATTTTAGGAAATGTTTGTCGGGTTTCACCAAGATCATGGTAATAATGACTAAGAGATCATAAACGTAGAATCTTTGCACACCTACATCCTAAGTGTTTTAGACTAGAGATGTCTCGAGATATGCATCATACTGTGTGCTTTGTGTAAGAAAGATAAGATTGGAAAAGAAGAACGAGTTTTTCACATTCTCAAATTAACAATAATAAATGATCATAAATTTTTTTATTGAGAAACCTAACTCCGAGTTGGTATAAACTCGAAATATCAAGGGTTAATAAAAAATTATTGTTGTAAGATCCGTCAATTCATTAAGGTTTAGATAGGAATCCTATGTTTGGATTTGTATATACCCAAGACATCATCGGTTTCCAAGACTGGTTAAAAGAAATATAGTACGTCTGCTACGAAAGATTGACCAAGCATAAATCTCTAAATTCAGAAATGAGTAGAGATAGGTAGCTTGATGGTTATTGTTCATATAGCCTATTGGGAAGAAATCCTTAGAACAAGAAATTTCATTAAGGCCTTTTCGCAAATAAAGAATCGTTGTGACTTTAGACGACATGCTGCAACATGCTTCTTGGGACACCTAACTAATGCAAACAAGAAAAAGAACTAATCCATAAGAGAATAGACATGCCAAACAATACAACGTAAAACGAAAAAATAAAGACAAAAATAAGAAAAATATTTTTGAATTTTAGAACGTTTTTGAAAAACTAATGACAAAAAATAAGAAAAATCTTTTGGAACTTTTGAATGTTTTTGAAAAACTAAAGACAAAAATAAGAATTTTTTTTTTGAATTTTAGAATGTTTTTGGAAAACTAAAGACAAAAATAAGAAAAATCTTTTTGGATTTTTGAATGTTTATTTGAAAAAGTAAATACAGAAATAAGAAAAACATAAGAAAATACCTAGAGCACCAGCCTGTGAAAGATCACACCTTCTCGCATCTAAGTGTGTTGAGAAAAATCAAAGTGCGAAAGACTGCAAAATTTGCAACGCATCACAAGTGAACATTAATCTTTTCTTAACTTCAAGAATTTGACTTCGGAACTAACTCAACGTCAATCATTCCAAGTCTGCGCAGAATTCTGTTAGATGTGATTTCTGGTAAAGCTTTCATGAAAATAACAACCAGTTGATCTTCTGATCTTACAAAATATACTTCAACATTTTCATCATCAACATGATCTTTTATAAAATGATAACCTAACACGATGTACTTTTTCTTTGAATGTCGAACAGGTTTATGACAAATACGTATGGCACTTTTGGAATCAAAGTATAAAGGAATCTTTTTCATATTCATGTCATAGTCTTTAAGATAACTTTCTATCTAGATAATTTGCGAAGTGCACGAGGCTGCTGCAATATATTCAGCTTCAATAGTTGATAAAGATACACATGTTTGTTTCTTTGATTGTCAGCTAACCAATTTTCCATCCAAGAACTAACATCCACCAGATGTACTTTTACGATCAAGACCAGAACCTCCGAGATCAGCATCAGAATATGCCTGACAAGAAATCCAGAATTAGATGGATACAATAATCCAAGAGAAGTAGTCTTACAAAGATATCGCAAAATATTCTTTAAAGCAATCTTGTGTGGTTCACGTGGATTCGCTTGAAATTTGGCAGAGTAGCAAACAGCAAACATAATGTCAGGACGACTAGATGTTAGATACAATAAAGAACCAATCATTTGTCTGTATAATGTAAGATCTGTTGCAGGTTTATCAAGTGAAGGGATGAGCTTTGTTCCAAACGTCATTGAAACTTTAACCTTTGAGTCGACATTCATATCAAATTTAGCAAGTAAAGTCTTTGTGAACGCTTCTTGAATGATGAATATTCCCTCTAAAATCCGTCTAATATTTAACCCAATGAAAAAGTTAATTTGACCCATAACACTCATTTCAAATTTTGTTTCCATCAGTTTGCGAAATTCATCAATCAATTCAGGACTAGTTGAACCAAAAATGATGTCATCAACATAAATTTGAACAATCATTAGATGATTACCCAATTTCTTACGAAAGAAGGTAGGGTCAACCGAACCTTGTTTAAATTTTGATTGTTTTAAGAATTTAGTCAAAGTTTCATACCATGCACGTGGAGATTGCTTCAGACCATACACTTCTTTATCTAGCACATAACAATGATCAAGAAATTTCTCATTTACAAAACTTGGAGGTTGTTCAACATAGACCGTTTCTTCCAGTTCTCCGTTGACAAATGTATACTTCACATCCATCTGAAATACTTCAAAAATTTTTGAGCAGCGTAAGCCAAAAATATGCGAACTGACTCCAGTCTTGCTGCGGGAGGATACGTTACTTCATAATCAATTCCTTCACCTTGACAATATCCTTTGACTACGAGTCGTGCTTTATTCTTAATCACATTACCTTCTTTGTCCATTTTGTTGTGAAATACCCACTTTAAACCAACATTTGATGCATTTTATAGACTTGGAAATAATCTCCAAACCTTATTGAGATCAAATTCATTTACCTCGTCTTGCATAGCCTTTACCCAATCTGCATGATCAAAGGCCATTTTAACAGTTTTAGGTTCGATTTTAGAGGTAAAAGAATTAAACATGCAAAATCTTGATTAGCGTTCAAAGATGCTTGTTTCTATTTCTATTGCAAACGAGTCTAAACCCTTGAAAAAGTATCACCAATGACTTCAGTTCGTGGATGATCTCGAGTCCATTTTATCAAAGGTGGAAAGTTTAGATCAATGGCATGTTAATATATTTTAATTCCCACTTAGCATCTATGACCACTACTACAAAACACCTTTTAATGACACGCATTGCATGTCATAAAAGCCACGTATGACATACAAATGTGTGTCAAGGAAGGCCCTGTCATAAAGGAAGACGACACGTATTTGTGTGTCATAACCTTACGACGCGCTCTTACGACACACAATGCGTGTTAAGGAAGGCCCTGTCATAAAGAAGACGACACACATTTACATTCGTAACCTTACAACACGCATTTACGACTCGCATTGCGTATCATTAAAGCCCCTTTCATTAAAAAAGACGACCCACATTTTTGTGTGTCATAATTTAAATTTTTTAAAAATTATATATTTTGATAGATTTAGTACACATTAAAAGTCTCGTAATACAAAATAAAATACAATAAATAAGAAAGATAATTCATTGAACTAATATGTCAAATACAAATAATCATTCTAAT